GGTCGATGGTTTCGAGATAGCTCTCAAGAAACTAACCGAATGGCTTGGAGAGAATATTGACAAGAACAGGACAAGGATCTTTTTTGCAGGATCATCACCAACACATTCCTGGTGAGAGAGATACCCACGAATCATTTGCAACACAAATAGTACAATACCAACATCTCCATGACATCTAGTGTTCACATATGTTACTTTAATTTCAGGGCTAGCAACTGGGGTGGAGAAGACAAGAACAAATGCCTTAACGAAACAGAGCCGATCTACAAAACCGGATACAAAGCTGCAACTACGGATTACAGCTTGATGGCCACGGCGAAGTCCTATTTCCGAACATTGGAGCCGAAAGGCATACATGTTCAGATACTGAACATCACCGAGCTGTCCGACTACCGGAAGGACGGGCATCCAACGGTGTTCAGGAGGCAATTTGTTCCTCTAACGAAAGAGCAAATTGCTGACCCAGCCAGCTACGCAGATTGCACGCATTGGTGCCTTCCCGGAGTTCCTGATGTCTGGAACGAATTTTTATATGGCTATCTTGTGCACAAATGATGTACAACGTCAGGTATATATATATATATATACACTGTACAAATGGCATACTCCATTCATTTAGATTAGGATGCCCTTGTGCAGAGAATGGTTGGACCTATTACATTTACATGTAGAGACAGACAAAAGGAGAAAAGCAAGGATCTGTCTGTGCATCACCTAATGGGATCAGTGTACATCTATCAGAGCAACATGGAAAAGAACAACTTAAGAATGATTAGCTGTCCTAGACTCCTAGATGTCCCTGAAATCCAGTTCAATTCAATTCAGTCATACCAGGCAAGGAACAAAAGCACACTTGACATTTGAGTGGTGGGTACTGGGTAGGTCAAGGAGAGAAGAGAAGAGCAACCTGAAGCAGCTATCGCTGAGCCGAACACAGGTTCCAGTTGCCGCCGGCCCGCCGCACACAGCAGCATACAACACCCGCCGTCCCGCGGCCGCGGAGGGGGCACGTCGTCATCGGCGCCCTAGAACGCGCTGCTATGGCCGGCCACCGGACGTCCAGACACCCCAGCCGGCTCCGCCGCAGCTTTCCAGGTCTTCCAGGACATGGGCCTTCTAGGCTACGGGATACGGGCTGAAAGGCCAAAATGACGTATCCTGCTCGCCGGCGCCCGCCGCCGGAGACGAGGATGATGACCCAAGATCGATGGAACCCGAGGTGGAAACTCACGCGAACACAGTGGGAGATGAGAACACAAATCACATAAAATTTGGTGCCACAACTAACCGATATTTTTCTGACTCTATTGATGAAAATATATACAAACTGTGAGCAGCTCGTGGCCACTCGACCCGGCGCCATGCACGCCACTCCTACCTACAAGGTCGCGCCATCCTACGACCGAACGAACGGGGCGCAAGGCTTCAACTAGACTCAGCGAAAACTAAGGACACGACAACTACTTGCCGCATCGCGAACGAGCGCGATTCTGGCTTACACGACGCACCCAATCGGGTTCAGTTTATTGGCCAAGAATGTTAAACGCTAGCTACTGAAACTCTGAACCTGGACTGAACTTACTGAATGAACCCAACAATCTCCCCCTTCATGAGGTTGGTTCAGCCTAGGTTGACAATGCCAATCTTCTCCCGAAGTTCACAGAACCTGACTCGTCCTAGTGCCTTCGTCATCAGATCAGCGAGTTGATCTTGAGTGTTCGCATACTCCAGCAAGATAATTCCCTTGTCGACACATTCACAAATGAAATGAAATTTAGTATCAATGTGCTTACTTCTTGATCATGCAAAGACAGGGGTTCTTCTTTGAGTCACGATGGCCGACATGTTGTCCATCTTGAGATGAGGCGCCGGAGGCTCGTTTGCTGTGACCTCCTTCACAACCTCGTAAAGCCACACCGCTTGGCACGCCAGCACCAAAGACCAGCGATGTACTCCGCCTCGCAGGAGGAGATCGCCACGACCTTCTGCTTACGAGATTGCCAGGCCATCGCCTTTGTTCCTAGGAAGAAGATGATGCTGTTGTGCTCTTCCCCGCATCATCACTTGTCTCCCCCCAAATCACTCATCATTGTAGCTGATGAAGGCATTGTCGGCCTTTGAAAGCTTGGGGTAGACCAGCCCGAGCTCCACCGTCCCCAAAGAATGTAACGGGCGGATGTTTCACTTGCAGCCCATGTGCTCCTGCCAGGCTTCTCCATAAAACGGCTCACCATCCCCACCGTGAACGAGATGTCCGGGCGAGTGTGGACCAAGTAGCGTAGGCTTCCCACCAAAGCTGCGATACTCCATTGCGTCAACCTCCGTTGTTGTCCCATCCTTGGATAACTTCAATCTTGCCTCCATCGGAGCATGACACGGGTTGCACCACCGCCATGTTCGCCTTTACGAAGCGACTGCGAGCATATGTAGCTTTGCCCAAGTGTGATTGCAGCCTTGCTCTGTCTCACCTCTATCCCTAGGTAGTAGGACAAAGAACCCAAGGTCGCTCATCACGAGCAACCACGCATCTCGACCTTGAAAGCGTCGACTCACCTTCCTTTGCTCCAAAAATGATCAAATCATCGATGTAGACGCCGGCGATCACCGTGAGGACCCCTTTCCGCGGGTGTACATTCCATGTTCACTCGGACAGCGCGTGAACCCCAGATCACGCAGACTGTTGTCCAGCTTGTTGTTCCACGCCCTAGGAGCTTGACGTAGACCGTACAACGCCTTCTTCAGGCGCAACACCTTGTTCCTGTGTCCAGCCACGATGAAGCCTGGCGGCTGCTGCACATACACCTCCTCGGCAAGATCCCCATTCAAGAACGCTGACTTGACATCCATATGATGCACAAGCCAACCCTCCTGAGCAGCAACAGCAAGCAGCATCCTCACCGACTCCATTCTCGCCACCGGCGCAAACACCTCATCAAAGTCGATGCCAGACTTCTGGACGTAGCCCTTGGCCACCAAGCGTGCCTTGTGCTTCACGATCGCCCCCAGTTCATCGCGCTTGATCTTGAACACCCACTTGAGCTCGATTGCTTGGTGCCCTTGCGGGAGATTGACCAATGTCCAGGTGTTGTTCTGCTCGATCGAGGAAAGCTCCTCGAGCATGGCCTTCCGCCATTCTTCCTCACCGCGCGCCTCATCGTACGACGTTGGTTCTCCATCAACCGACAGCAGCAGCTCGGCGCCCAGCCCTCGGACCGCCTCCCCTGGGTTGTCAGCGTCGCCGAGGACATTGTCCAGCGACCTGAACCTCAGCGACGCATCATCAACGTCGGCGTCCAGCTAAAGCTCCCCCGGAGGTGGTGAGACGAACTCCACCCCTCCATGTGGCGTTCCCGGTGCTGGAGAGTTGGCCGGTGCGGGCTCCTACACCGGGGTTGAGGGAGGAGCAGCAGTACCCTGCGTCGATGTCGAGGGTCCCGGTGACGCTGGTGGCGACGGCGCTGGTATGTGTGGCACCTGTCCGCCGCCCAGGGCAGACAGCGTCACGTACTCCACCGTGAATGGCTCCCCCTGAGCCGCGCCTGATGCAGCCACCTCCGCATCCTCCCATCTCCATGCCTTCCCTTCATCGAATACCGCATCCCACGATATGTGTACACGCTCCGTGCTCGGGTTGTAGAAGCGGTAGGCCTTCGTCCCCGGCTCATAGCCGATGAACGCCATGGGAGTGCTTCGGTCGTCGAGTTTGTGTTGGTGACCGCTGGCGACCTTCACATATGCAGTACAACCAAAAGTGCGAAAGAAGTGCATGGCCGGCTTAGAACCATACCAAACCTCGTAGGGCGTCTTTCTTTCCACGCTCCGTGTCGGTGATCGGTTCAGGATGAAGACGGTGGTGGACACCGCCTCACCCCAAAGCCAACCCGGAACATTCATCCCCTTCATCATGCTGCGTGACATGCCCAGCACGGTTTGATTGCGCCTCTCCACCACGCCATTTTGCTGGGGCGTGTACGGCGCAGTGAGGTGGCGCTGCACGCCTTCACCCGCACAATGCTCCTCGAACACGCGCGCCGTGAACTCTCCTCCACGGTCCGTGCGCAGCGTGCCCAGCTTCTCGCCAGCCTCCTTCTCCAGCCGTGCCTGCAACTGGATTATGGCTGCCGCTGTTTGGTCCTTTGAAGCCAAGAGGACCAGCCACATGTACCTGCTCCTGTCATCAACAACAAGCAAGAACAGCTTCTTCCCACCCGGGGTAGCCGGCGTGATCGGTCCGCATAGGTCCGCATGCACCAGCTCCAGGGATCGAGATGCATGGAACTTGCTCGCCGCCGGGAACGGTTGGCGACGTTGTTTCCCGGCGAGGCAGCTCTCGCACACCTGCTCCACATGATCGATCATAGGGAGCCCGCGCACCATCTCCTTCCTGGACAGCAGCTTCAAGCCATGGAAGCCGAGGTGCCCATACCTCGTGTGCCACTTCCAGGCGGCGTCGTCAGCATGCGCCGCAAGGCACACCGGGGAGCTAATGTTGACGTTGAGGATGTACAGCCGGTTCTCCGACCGTGGAACCTTGGCGAGGAGACGACGTCGCTGGTCCCAGATGCGCAGAACGCCCTCCTCGATCAGAACCTTGTACTTGTCCTCGTCAAGTTGCCCGAGACTGATGATGTTGGCCGTGAGCTTGGGGATGTAGTACACACCGCCAAGTCTCTGGTGCTCACCATTCCTGTAGCTGAGGAGGACAGTGCCACGGCCATGGATGTCGACCATGGACCCATCGCCGAACCTGACGGTGCCGCGCACACCCGTGTCGAGTTCGGAGAAGAATGACCGGACGGCGGTCATGTGGTTCGTCGCCCCCGTGTTGAGGATCCAGCGCGTGCACCCTTCGCCGCACTTCTCCCCGAGCTGGACGAAGAGCTTGTCCTCCCGGATGTGCACCTCCTCGCCCGCCGCGGAACGCGACAGCGTCGCCAGCGCCACGCAGGCCGTCGTGGACTCCGTGTCCGCGGCCTCGTCGGAGAAGACCCAGCGCGCCACTACGCTCCCGTCGGCGACGTGGACGCCCACCACGTCCTCCACACATTCGGGCTCCTTCCGGCGCTGCCACCTGAGACACCGGATCGAGGGAGACCGTGACGGTCGCCATCATCAGCGCCTGCTCTGCCTCCGCCTCGGCGGCGTGCGCCTGCTCGTCCCGCTTCTTCTTGCGGCACTCACGCGCCCAGTGGCCCGTCTTGCCGCAGTAGGTGCACTCGTCGCTGGCGAGTTTCTTCTTCTTCTTGCCGTTGCCGTCGGCCGAAGGTTTGGAGCCGCCGTTGCTCCCACCGCCCTGGGGCTGGGCGCTGCTGCCTCCCCCACCTTGGGATGAGCCACCGCCGCGTCCTCTCCTCTGGGTCGAGGCCGGAGGGCGCCCGCCTCCAGAGCCGCCGCCCGAGATTTGTAGCCGGGAGACCACCCGATCCACAAGTTCTTCTTCGGTGAGGTTGAGCCGCGCCGCAGAGGAAACGCCGTTGCCACTGAGGCCGTAGCATTCCTTGGCTGCCTTGAGTCTCCCCACGAGCTCGTCCACTGACAGGTCATTGAGATCAAGGAGAGTCTCGATTGCCATTACGATCTGCTCATACCTCGGTGGCGTGGCCTACAGGAACTTCCTCACGACCTCCGGCTCCGTGTACCCAGCATCGAGTACCTCCAGCTGGCTCGCCACGTCGGTGATCCGGATGGCGAAGTCGTCCACCGACTCCCCGTCTGTGGGGGATATACCCCCAGGTACCACAAGATGTTACATGGGCCGCACCATCCGAGGTGGCCCGGCCCGTAAGATCAAGACGTGCATAGCAAGATTACAAGTTGTACTAGATATTATGATAGTACCAAATAGGATACTTTACTTGTAACCCTCCTCCTCCAGAGTATATAAGGAGAGGCAGGGGTCCCCTAGAGGACAGATCCAAGGGGGTTAATCAATATACATCTCAATACAATACACCAAAGACACAGGACGTAGGGTATTACGTCGACCAGACGGCCCGAACCTGTCTAAATCGCTGTCTCTGCGCCTTGTGTCACCATCTGGTTCCAGATCACACGCATCCTACCGATAATCTACCACCACGGACACCCCCCTCGGTGGACTGCCGACCATATTTCGTCGACAGTGGCGCGCCAGGTAGGGGGTGTGCGCGCTGATCTTTGACGAGCCAGATGGACCTCAACATCAGTAACATCTACAACGATTCGGTGGCGGCGTTTAACGTCATGCGCAACAACATCGTCACCGTCGTCGCTCCTGCGGCGATCCTCGTCCACAACTTGGTCACTGTTCCTGTCGTCAACCCGGCATCCCTCGACATTGTGCATTGCGATCTGCTTCCGTCGCCGACGACCTCAGACTCAGCGTCACGAAGCGACTCGTGGCTATGCGCAACAGGACTCGTGCCTGATTACGCAACTTCACGCTTTCGTGCGTGGAGTTTAGCGGCGGGCGGCAGCCCCTGTTCGGCGGCATGGTTTTATGTCATACAGCAGCAGCCCAGTCCAGCGTCGGGTCCTACCGCCGAGCACTTCGCTGTCGAAATCCTAATCTCATTCAATCGAAAGCTCAACAACCAATCAAAAAGGTAAACGTGGAATCAATCTACAGCACCGTCCAAGATGACGTCAGCAAGCAAGATGGATGTACGATCTACATGCAAGAGGGCATTAGACTACTACAACCATGCAAGCAATCAGGAGCTACACGTATTCACGTTCATGCATATACATTGCATATTCGGCCGCGCCTCTTGCTCACTCGTGGCGATGCTCGGCAACCTCTCGCGCCCGTGGACTACGGCATCAGATCAACATGAGGCAAAGCAGGCAAGGATGTACGACAACATTACCATGAAGCCGACGCAAGCAAGCAAGGCCAAATATGCATGCATATACGCGTGCCATATAGCTCTACGTCAATTTCCAAGAGCCAAGCTTGATCAACACACAAGCCAACGACGACGACGAGTACTCCAGCAGCGGCAAAGGCTGCTCCTACTGCTCCTACACCATCGCCGACCACCGAACTGCTCGAGCAGCCATGTCGACCACGGACCACGTCGACCACGTCTCGAGCGGCTCTACCGAGCTTCGACCACATCGACCACCACGTCGACCACGTCTCGAGCGGCTCCGCCGAGCTCCGACCACGTCGACCGCGACCACGTCGACCACGCCCCGAGCAGCTCTGCCGAGCTCCGACCACCTCGACCACAAGACTATGTCGCAATGATGATCGCCGCGAAGAACGGCGCTACGACAATCGCGACCACAGTCATGACGACAGGTCGAAAGGCTCGAAGACCGGACAACTTCATCGCCAACGACACGTCAAGCCATCTCTCGAACATCGCAACACGTCGACTACACCCACCGGTCGTCAATAAAGCTAAGTATTATTTTTAATTGAAAATTTCTTCGATCATCATACACCTCCGCCGACCACCCTTAGGGTGCACTCCGCGTCGAATTTTCTCCATACATACAATTCAAAACATGTATAAGTTTTTACAATGGTTCGCCGATACGTTTTCCTTCCTGCTTGAGAATCCCAGAGCCGGCACTGTCTCCGGCTCCACCCTACGCGTGCATGAGAGTCCGCCCTCTGCGCTACGGGTAGTCGGCGATCGCTCCTGGTAACACTGGCACTCTCTGCTGCGGCAAATTCCATTCCACTCGCGCTACGAGATGTTGGTCGACCAGGCTGGCGCATTCTTCAGACGAGTTAATACATCGCGCTACGCCACTACATAACAAAAGGGCTAAAACAGCTTAATGTTATTTTTCGAATATTACACCAAGTATAAGTCATCGCCAACCTAACACCAAGTGTTTACTTCACCTCCTACAGAGAGATCAATATATTTCAGTACATCATCATGTACTACCGCTCTCCGTGTTTATTTTTCAGAACATAGTTTGATCAACGAGCTCATGCTTGGGACTTCGCTGCTGACCACTCCGTGCTCGGGATTCTACAACAATAGCAAAAGCAACGATCATCATGTAGATCACCACGTCCGGATTCCCAAGATTTGCGCTCTGTCTCCACGAGACGACCAGATCCGATCTAAAGCCCAAGTATCAAAATCGAGCACAAGTCGGACTACAACGCCGCCTCCATCTCCAACACGGCATTGACACCGGAATTTCCAAGTCAAGGTTTCGTCGATCAAGACTTTCCTCGATTACGAGCAAACTAGAAGCGTGTACAGCCTTGCAAGTTATTTAATCAAGGGCAATTAGCGTGTCGTGTGCATACATACACGACATGCTATACGCTTGAACCGTGCCCAAACACCGTGGATGACAAGCAAGCGAAAAGGAGTCCGTGTAATCTACAGAGCCATGACGAGCAAGACCGATTGCCAAAAGTCATGCGAAGCTAATTAAAGACATTAAGGTGCGAAGGGCATCTACATGAAAGCCAACTCCAGTTGCTAAGGCACTTGCATGCGGCGCATGCACGTCACGCATCGTCTCCACGAGCATGCAAGGGTCAACTCAGCGCATGCATGTCGCCAAACAAAGAAGGTTTGGACTGCATCTCGCCTCGAACATCGCCGTGACCGCCGCCATAACGACAGGTCGGAAAGCTCGAGGACCGGACGACTTCATCACCGCCGATCAGATCTCTATCCAAAGATAAGGATCTCGAGCTACGCTCGGGGACTTCGCCGCTCGCTCCTCGACATGTGCTCGGGGAATGCCTCGACCACTCTCCGACCACGGCTCGGGGACTTCGTCGCTTGCTCCTCGACCCGTGCTCGGGGACTGCATCGACCACTCTCCGACTACGGCTCGGGGACTTCGTCGCTCGCTTCTCGACTTGTGCTCGGGGACTGCCTGCCTCGACCACTCTCCGACCACGGCTCGGGGACTTCGTCGCTTGCTCCTCGACCCGTGCTCGGGGACTGCATCGACCACTCTCCGACTACGGCTCGGGGACTTCGTCGCTCGCTTCTCGACTTGTGCTCGGGGACTGCCTGCCTCGACCACTCTCCGACCACGGCTCGGGGACTTCGTCGCTCGCTCCTCGACCCGTGATCGGGGACTGCATCGACCACTCTCCGACCACGGCTCGGGGACTTCGTCGCTCGCTTCTCGACTTGTGCTCGGGGACTGCCTGCCTCGATCACTCTCCGACCACGGCTCGGGGACTTCGTCGCTCGCTCCTCGACCTATGCTCGGGGACTGCCTCGACCACTCTCCGACCATGGCTCGGGGACTTTGCGTCTTGACTACATGTGACTGGCAACTCGCATACAGTTGGGATATTTTTTCTTGGACCTTGCTACAAGGATCATACCTCGCCTTCCAGCAAGCTCGGGGACTACATCGGTGCGATGCACTGCCGTGCATCTCGTATCGCTCTGTCTGACGATTGGATTCTCAACTTAATCGAATTCTTTTTTAGACCACGCACCACGTGCCTACGTCACCTACTACCAGGCTCGGGGACTAAGTGGGCACACTTCACCTTGCGGTGAATGTGTTTGTTTTTCGACCTCTACGCCTCTGATGATCAAGGACGCTACGCTTCAAGAGGCACTTACATTTCTTTTCAGAAATACAAGTGGGCACACTTCTCAGGACAGAAATCTTTTTTCTTTCTTCTTAAGAGCACCATACATTCTTCGGACAACCTCCTTCTCCGGCGACAACGGTGGTCGGAGATGTCAAGAACTCAAGCCTCACTGTTCGGAGAAGGTTGAAACGGCGTGTCGCATCAGAATACATGGCGCTCGGGGACTAGCTGTGGGGGATATACCCCCAGGTACCACAAGATGTTACATGGGCCGCACCATCCGAGGTGGCCCGGCCCGTAAGATCAAGACGTGCATAGCAAGATTACAAGTTGTACTAGATATTATGATAGTACCAAATAGGATACTTTACTTGTAACCCTCCTCCTCCAGAGTATATAAGGAGAGGCAGGGGTCCCCTAGAGGACAGATCCAAGGGGGTTAATCAATATACATCTCAATACAATACACCAAAGACACAGGACGTAGGGTATTACGTCGACCAGACGGCCCGAACCTGTCTAAATCGCTGTCTCTGCGCCTTGTGTCACCATCTGGTTCCAGATCACACGCATCCTACCGATAATCTACCACCACGGACACCCCCCTCGGTGGACTACCGACCATATTTCGTCGACACCGTCCTTGAAGCGCAGCGCGTCGAACTCCCGACGCAGCGTGTTCGCCTTCGCCTGGCGCACACGATCCACCCCGAGATGCATCTTCTTCAGGGAGTCCCACGCCTCCTTGGCAGTGGCCTTCCTGGCGATGCTTCCGTGCATCTCCTCGGGAACGCCCAGAGCGATGGCCTCCAAGGCGTTTCGATCGTCGATGTAGTCGATGGCGCCGACTTGCACCGTCTCCCACAAGCTCCGCGTCTGGAGCTTTAGTTTCATGAGCGCCGCCCATGAGTAGTAGTTGGACTTAGTGAGGAGGGGGTACTTGTGTTTCCGCCTCCTCATGCATGGTCCGGTGAATCACCGAGCGCGTTAAGCTCGCGTGCGCCGTTGCTCGAACCGCCCTGCCAAAACCCCGTCATCATGGCGAGGAGGAACGGTTCCTCCGTCGATCCATACCGAGAGCAGCAGCGATCGCGCGGTCGCGTGTCCACCGGCGGAACCTCGCTCTGATGCCAGTTGACGTATCCTGCTCGCCGGCGCCCGCCGCCGGAGACGAGGATGATGACCCAAGATCGATGGAACCCGAGGTGGAAACTCACGCGAACACAGTGGAAGTTGAGAACACAAAACACACAAAATTTGGTGCCGCAACTAACCGACATTTTTCTGACTCTATTGATGAAAATATATACAAACTGTGAGCAGCTCGTGGCCACTCGACCCGGCGCCATGCACGCCACTCCTACCTACAAGGTCGCGCCATCCCACGACCGAACGAACGGGGCGCAAGGCTTCAACTAGACTCAGCGAAAACTAAGGACACGACAACTACTTGCCGCACCGCGAACAAGCGCGATTCTGGCTTACACGACGCACCCAATCGGGTTCAGTTTATTGACCAAGAATATTAAACGCTAGCTACTGAAACTCTGAACCTGGACTGAACTTACTGAATGAACCCAACACAAAACACTTGGCTGATGTGGCCCGACAACGGCCCAAGTTTAACAGCCGCCAGGGCCTGCGATCCTCTCGTCTCGTTTCGTCGTCCTCCTCGCTTACGGCGGCTGCATCTACTGTTTCCTCCCGGATTCCGCCTCCGCTTCCCGAGTCCGACGACGGTAACGCCGCCGCCTCAGCCTCAGGCTTGGTCCTCCTCGACAGGTGGTGCTACATCGCCAACCTCGTCAACGCCATCACCGCTGAGGGTACCACGAGCACCGGCTCGCGCATCCAGGTGACCTTCCGCGCCGCGCGCCCGCCACTTGTCTCCCACTTCTGCGTCCACTGCCCCGGCCTCGACTTCCCCAACGCAACTCCCAAGGTCATCACCACCGACGCCGATCTCGTCCTCCTTTGCGTCCCCGTCTACCCCGACGCCATCGGCCACGGACGGGACTAGGACTACTTCGTCTACAGCCTGCGCGCCCGTCGCCTAGATCTGGTCCCGAACTCGAACTACAGGTGTCTCACCGACTCTGCAACTGTACTTCTTAGCCGCGAAGACGAAGACGGCGCCAGCTGGTATGCCATCGCCGCCCTCCGTGTTAGGGCCGGCCCCCGTGTTCCATGGCCGCCGCGTGCTCATTGGGTGGGATTTCGACCTCCACCTGTACAACTCCAATTCCTCAGGGGTGGATCTCCAAGGTGATGTCTGTGAATGATCTCGTGAGGGACAGGCAATCCCTTTACCTAATACTACCGAAGACAGGCTGTACCATGAGACTGAGAAGACCATCGCAATCGGCGGTGAGGGTGGCACAGTCGCCTGGGTGGACCTCTGGCGTGGCATCTTCTTCTGCGACGTGCTCAGCGAGTGCCCTGTGCTCCACGACGTCCCACTGCCGGTGCCAGCAAGGGGCAACTGGAATCGGCTCCTCATGGAACTCGACCCTTACAATTTTCGCGATGTAACCATCAGCCGAAACTGAGACTCTATCAAGTACATTGAGACGGAATCCTGGTCACCAAGAGAGCTGAATACGGCACCTGCTTCGTACACGAGTGGGTGCGCAATAAATCAAGGAAACTCAGGGCCTTCCGTGATGGATGGAATGCAACAACATGGACCATGACAACCCTGTTCGCTTGGCTGATAAGGCAAGCTGAAAAGTACCGTTGGCTAATTTGTTGGGGTGAAAAAGTATGGCTCATAATTGATTCCCAACCATGGGAGAAGGAGAACTGCTGGCACCGTCACTCAGCAACTGATGTTAAAGATGTCACCTTGCAACTGGATGCCAGCAACGCGTGTTCTTCTAACTTGTTGGCTATGCTGCGCTGCAGCAAGACCACAGAAATGTTGAAGGAGCTTCAGATGTCATGCCCCATCATAAGCATGGATGACGATATTGTTTACTTGCTTTCTGCAATCAAACCCAGGCATATGGACAAGTTTGAAGTGGTTCTTGCTATTGATGTGAGCAAGGGAGTGCTTCGGGGATTGGCTGAGCTTGATGCCCAGAAGAACTTCATTTTGACGGACAACATCTTCAGCAGTGACATCTGCAGGCAGGCATCTGAGGAAGGTTACAGGTAACTTGTGTATACCCTGTTAGGTTCACTGTGTGATGACTATGCTTGTGATGTTTAAGGTTTATTAGGGAATTATTTTGTTGCTACATTTCTGTTCATTAGGGTCTAGAGCTTAGCAAGTTAATAATGCACTTAATACAGGAGCTGGGGCTTGGTGACATTGATGCTATGGAAGGTTATTTATATGAGTACATACTTTGTTGCCAGAGTTGTACATCAGTTGATTAAATAAATCCTGACAATTCAATTGGAATAAGTTTGTGAATTGTGTTTTGCTTAATTTGTGTTCTGTTTGTAAGCTTGGCTCAACCCATTTTAGTGGCAGAGGATATGCAGCCAAGGAACTGTGTTGAGCCTGTTCCTGGCCACAAGCAGCACCTTATGTGACATGTTATTCAATTTGCATTTATGACAAAAATTAAGTTCCTCTGTGTTTTTAACTCATATGACAATATATTTGACCAAAATGAACCTGGATAATTGATTCCTGCTTTTATGTTTGTCTATCCTTTTTTTTGCTAGTTATTGTAACTAACATGAGACATGAAAACAGTTCTTGCTTTAGAGATTTTTTTCCTGTTCTAAACATGAGATATTTGCTTTGATGCAGGCACAGTCAAAGCATGAGGTGATTATGAAAATTGTGAATCTGGAATTTATTACTTGTAGTCTGCAGACATAGAGTCTTTTATTTATGTACTAGTGAATTTGTGCGGTGTGCCCAGAGTTGAGCTCACTTGAGTTGCAGCCATGTATCCTATTATGACGTTTCGTGTGGGACACTGTCTTATAGTGATAATTCGGGCCGGCAGGAGTCATCATTTGGTTTTTGTTGAACATATTTTTATCTGCTTCGGTTTTGGTTGGTCTTTGGGCCCATGTGCAGGTGTACGGATAGTTTAGTATTATCGTATGGACAAAACTGCCCTTAATATTTCCTCCTCTTCATCTCACTTACAAGTGGACCTTATTTGTCATCTCCTTCCTCCTACTCTCCCCAATCCATCTCCAGGTTGCGGTGAGCGGGGCGGTTGTGACGTCGACACCTGGAGCCTGGAGGATGGCGGCGACGGCGTGGTGAGCGGGGCAGAGCTCCCCGGCGGCGTAGCCAGCCTAGGGGCAAAGCTCCCCGGTGGCGCGGTCAGCTCCGGGCAGAGCTCCCCCAGTGGCGCGACCGGCTCAGGGGCGAGATACCCCCGGCGCGCGCCAGACCAGGAGCGCATACACGTACATGCAAAAACAGCTTACACAGATGTGCATAAGTTCATTCTCCTCTCTTCTCACTAATTATTTTTTCTTTCCCTTTCCATTGATCTAAGGCTCTAAGCCACCAACAATGCTTCTTTACTTGAACTGTTCTAACAGAGCTGTTCCTTGGTTTGTGAATAATTTTCAGTTAAATCATCATGGGAGCAGAAATTGCTTTGCACTTTTCCATGTTTGCTTTCTTGAGCGGATCAATTGCATAACGTCTTTGTGATAATAGAGAATCCCACCTTTCTCCTGTCCAAAAATATTGAAGTCGGTCTAAATCTTTGACAGCATTGTCTACCGTCTGTTTTAGGGCGGCCCACCTCATAATTTTGTGTTAACACTATGTCACTGGCACTTGGGCAGTAAAACTTAGCATGCGTAACAACGCCAGAACCCAATAAAAACTCCCTGTATGTTCTAATCTGGCAGCTTGTGCTGCAACCCATAAAAGTTAATCCAGTTAAACAACAGAGAACACGAACTACAGCCCTCTTCATCTCTTACAACAGACGAAATAAGCGATGAAAACTATGTGACTGAAAGAGACATATAGCTGTCATACTAGCATAATTCCTCTTCTCTCCAACACACTATCAATCAAATATAATACAAAAACGCGAAGATCGATACACACAAGACAACATTAAACTAGTGATGTGCCATATGCTACTGATGAGGAGAATATCCAGCGGAGTTTGCTAAGGAAGAGGAGCAAATAAAAGGTTGGCTATAGGGGCCATGGCAGAGAGTTCTTTGCACCTCTCTAGCTCGATCGATTTGGTAGCTTCAAAGAGAAGCATGGAGAGAGGGTTGTTTCGGCTGATTCTGGTTTTGGTGATGGCTGTACTTGGCTGCAAGGCTGATTGTGATTTTGTGGCAGGTACGCTACGGTTCACTTAATTATCGAATACTCTTGAATATATACTCTTTCAGGCATCAAATAAATGATGTTTTGTAGTTGTGATCAACTGTCCCAAACTTGCACATTGAGTTTGAATGTTTAGAAATGGCACTGAATAGATTTATCTTAAAAGCTACTCTCTCCATTCCTGAACAAATCAATTTCTAGAGTTGTTTTAAGTCAGACTTTTTTTACTTTTGACTGAATTTATAGAAAAGAACATAAATATTTATAACACAAAAATGAACATATTATGAAAATATTTTATGGTATATCTAATGATACTAATTTGGTATCATAAGTTTTGTCGCTTTTTTTCTATAAATTGATTTATTCAGGACTGGAGGAAGTAGTTTTATAAATTTGCTGTATTTTATACATAAGTAAAAGATTGAAGTAGTTGACCTCAGTAACCTCAAAGGGTGTATTAGATTTGTAGTCACCTTGTTTTTTAGTATTCCCCATTCCCTTTTATAGGCGAAGTTTAACATGGCCTCTCAAATTACATTTTGATTATTTAGTTATTTTGTATCTAATGAAATCTGTCTTAAACTTGCAGATGGTGAATACATCAAGGTCAGACGTAAGTCCAAGGCCTTGTTTTATGCATCCACGCTGCGCACCTCATCAACATTCATCGACACTAAAAAGTCTTAACTCTACAATTACGTGTTCACAAATTATATTTCAGGTAGCACATTTGCAGTCCTGATAGTTTTTGCGTTCCTAGTAGTCGGCATCGCCATCGCGATCACCAAATACCTGAGGAACAAGAAGAAAGCAAACGAAACCACTACAGAATCATCACTAAAATCATCACAAGGCAACTACAGAGTACATAAAGGGGAGGTGAACAGCAAGTGGTCAGGCTTGTACAAATTCACCAAGGAGGAGATCGAGAGAGCGATCAACTATGCGAGCAGCAGGATCTACCTCGGCTCAGGTAGCGCAGGGCAGGTGTACCAGGGGGTGCTACCCAGTGGGCAGCTTGTTGCAATCAAGCACATTCACAAGACGGCGATGTCAGGGTCCTTCATGAGGGAGGTGGACCAGCTGTCCAAGGTGAGGCACCCCAACCTGGTGTGCCTCTTCGGCTACTGTGATGAGGGAGATCAGTACCTGGTGTATGAGTACTGTGCCAATGGAAACCTTGCCCAGAGCTTACTCAGTAAGGGAAATGTATATATTCAGCTTTATTTTATTTGAGGCTATCATCTAGTATATAGCGCTTCTCGATCGGTTCATTCTGAAACAAACTCATACAACAATGTTCTGTTATGTTCTTGATTGGCATGCAGGAAGTGACTCTGTGCTACCATGGGAAACAAGAGTGAAGATCCTGAGGGATTGTGCTTCTGTCCTGAGGTTTCTTCACACACACCCCGATGGATGTATTGTCCATAGAGACATCAAGGTGAGAATAATGCTAGTTGAAATTTGCAGGCATAACAACCTGAGGTTGCTTCATTCTGAACCATAACATGCTCTTGCTATTGGAATTGTTGCAGCTCACAAACATCTTGCTGACAGAGAACCAGGTGCCAAAGCTGGCTGATTTCGGGCTGGCAAAAATGCTAGAAATGGAGGAGACCAAGGTGTTCACAGATGTGAGGGGAACCATTGGGTACATGGATCCCGAGTACATCACACACTCCAAGCTCACTTGTTCCAGTGACATATACAGTTTTGGTGTTGTCGCTCTGCAGCTTCTGTCAGGAAGGAAGGTCATAGAACTTGACATTGTTGCACGTGATTCACTTACGAAGAAGGTAAATATATATGATCTTTTATTTCTCAGATGATATATACGCCAAGCGTGTGGAAATGATTCTACAACTTCAGAAGCAGCAGCTGTTTTTTTTCTTCTTCTTCTTTTCATGTTTACCGAGCAAGGCCCGGCTATGTTCATTTGCAGTATTATGATCCCTTGTATTATCAACATATTTCCTATTTTTATTAAATATTTGACAATATTAAGTTTTTTTTTTTTTTATCTGAAGGCCAAGGATGTAGTGAGCGGAAAAAAAAGCCACTGGAGGAATTCATAGATCCACGAGTTAGGGATGATGTTATCATAGAAGATTTCGTGTTAATACTGAAAATCGCAGTCCCTTGTGTTGCGAGTTCAAGTGTAGGGCGCCCCACCATAAAGGATGTGTTCGAGGAGATGGACAAAGCCTTGAGAAATACAACCATAAAGGTTCAAATTTTGTCATCTATTGCATAGTCTTTTAAACTGGTCTGTGATACTCTTAACTAATGTAAAACATTTTCTTTTAACCAATCAATTTACAAACTAAAAGAATTTTCTGCTCTAACCTTTGACCACACAAATCTCACATTACTACCACTGGAGTTACACTGTTGCGCCTACAAAATGCTTGCATTCTAGCTATGATGGATCGTATTAATATTGTCATTTTGCAGACTAAAGTAAGGAAGGAGATGAATGCAGCAAATTTGATCGGTCAATATGCAAAAGAGTTGGATGTATAGATCGCGTTATGCCTTCAGGTATTACAACAACCGCGCGCATGGAAGTTCCAAGGCCATACTTTCGTCACATGGGTAAAAGATTCTGACGAAGATGCTCCACGGTGAACAGATTTGACAAAGGTGTGGTTGCAGTGTGGCGAGTGCTGACTGATGTACCTGCAATACTATTAGTTCTATGATAGCAACTGCCTTGCGCGGTTGCCTGCATGTTGATACTTAAGGCTCTGTATATATACACTTGTAATTAAATGAAGTGAAGACGAACCTATATATGTAAACTTCAGTCAAAATTTGGGCTAGGTGGGTGCAAGTTGTATCACTTGGCGGGCTAGGCCCAATACCGGCCCAACATTAAATGGGCCTCAGCTACACACGAATTAGGCTAGTAGCAACATCTGTGGATATGACGAGCAGCCCATCTCTTCAACTAAAAAATTGATAAGAGAGTCCTTGATAGCGTGCGAAACAAATTAATGCTCACCTGGTTTCCTTCGTCGTGCGAAACAAAGCCCGCAGGCCGCAGCCCTCGGCCTCATGCCGCCCTCGCACCCGCCCTCATCTCCTCTTCCACTTTCCGCCGCCGCTGCCTCACCACCCCACACCGCCCCCCACCCCCGCTCCCGGCGGGCGTCCTCCAGCTCCGGCGCGGCGCGGAGACCGCCTCCACCCCCGCTCCCGGCCTCCCCCGACAGACGTCCTCCGTCTCCGGCGCGGAGACCGCCTCGACACGCCCGCTCCCGGCCCTCCACCCGCCTGTGGCGCTTGTGCCCTCCGGTGAGCCCTAAAACCGTGGTCAGGCCGCCGATCTGACAGGCTACCTGGCCACCGGCGCGACGCCGCCTCCACACCCGCACCATCCCCGCACCCCGCACCACTGTCGCCCTCGCCCCTCGCGTGCTTCCACGCTCGCGCCACCGTCGGCGGGTCGACATGGTTGAGGTCGAGGCGCTTGCCGTAGGCGGGAGCTCCGAGAAGGCCAGCAAGGCCAACACGAGCGAGGCAGGCCACCAAGGCGAGGGCATCGACCACCAGGCGGGGCAAGGGCGCCTTCTAGGCCGCCTCTTGTCGATGTTTTACCACCGATAGCCTGTCACGGGGTTACCTGGGACAGTATGTTCGGGCTTCAGCGTATGCGGAACTCGACGGTGAACGCAAGAGACAGTCGATTTATCCTGGTTCGGGCCCTCGATCGTTGATCGAGTAATAGCCCTACGTCCAGTCGGCGTTAGCCTTTGCGTTGGATTGATTGTGTTGTGTCGTAGAAGTTGTCCTTTTTGTCTCTAGGAACCCTGCCCTCCTTTATATAGTCAGGAGGTCAGAATCCTAGTCGGTTTACAATGAGAGTTCCTAGTAGGATTACAGAATAATACTACTACTAAGATTACATGGGGAGAATCCTAATTAGACTAGATCTTCTCTCTTCCTTGCGGGGTATCCTGTGGGTCCCGCACCGACAAGCCCCCGAGCACTTCATGGTTGAGCTCTAGAAGCCTCGTCTTGTTCTTTCAGGTCTTGCCGAGCAGGAACAAGCATCGTTCGAGTGCTTTCTTGAGCGAAACCGTGTAGCGCTTTGTGAGATCTTCACGTGGTGTGTACCTTTTTGAAGAAAAAAGTACTCCCCTTTGGGTGTAGCCCCTGAGCCTCTTGCTATTTGGTACAAGGAGCGGGAGGGTCTTGTCTTGAAATCGCTCTGATCCTTCGTTGAAATGTTCCCGAGCATGTACCCGGGTTCTTTATCAAAAAGAACTCGGATATAGCTCGGTCCGGCTTCTTTTTGTCATGAGTCCTTGAAGTAGTTTTGTCTTGAAGAAGTCTTCTTGGTGACGTGCGCTTTTTCGAAGAAAAAAGTGCACTCACTGAGTGTAGCCCTCGAGCCTCTTGCTATTTGGAACAAGGAGCTGGAGGGTCTTGAATCTTATGTTGTTTGCAAATTGCTGTCTTGAAGAAGCCTTTCGAGTGATGTGTGCTTTTTTAAAGAAAAAGTGCACTCACTGAGTGTAGCCCCCGAGCCTCTTGATGTTTGGAACAAAGAGTTGGAGGGTCTTGAGTCTGATTTGTTCAAGGAATTGAAATCTTCCCCTGTTGCGGCCTCTGAGCATTTATCTGAGTTCTTTGATTCAAAAAGAACTCGGATGCATTGTCTTGACGTATTCTCTGGTAGTCTGCTGTTTGTTAGGTGTAGTTGTATGGTGGTGGTTGAGTGTAAATGTTGCCTGTTCACGGGTTGTACAGCGTTGGCATATTCTTCCGAATATGCTCGTCTTCGAGTAATGTTCCTTCTCGCCTGAGTCTTCTATTATTGAGTCTTGTCTTTTCACTGTGTCCTTTGTTAGGCTTGTTTCGTTGGTGCTTCTAGTCCATGTGTGCCGCTCCTTCGATCTATAAATACCCTCCCAGAGTGCTATTTTCATTCATTGAACATTTTGTTGCTTGTTCTAAAGCCTTCGTAGTCATGAATATGGTAGTTTGTGAAGTAGAGTAGCCCCCGGACGTATTTTGTAGTTCCTGTACATCTTGTCGTAGCTGGAGGAAGTCTTGTGATAGGGATTAGAGGTAGACTAATCCCGCAGCGGCATTGTACTTGGAAGTACGTGGTGGTAGTTGGAGGAAGTCTTGTGATGTGGGATGCGTTCCTTCATCCAACAGTTATGGGTTGATCTTCCTTGCCCGCCCTGCGACTGTCCGGTGCAGATCAACACCTGATCCTGCATCACATCGGGCTTGGGTAGACAGATGCCCGCAGACCTCCTTTGGTCCATGTTGTCCCGCCATGCCGCTGATCTCTGCCTTGGATGTGCTGCGTCCGTCCTTTGAAGAAAACAGTGTAGCTGAGTGCGGTTTGTTCTACCGAGTAGCAATTTGGGACACGTAGTCGTTCCAGAGCCTAGCTGTGTCCGGGTTCCTCTTTGCTACCTTACTTGTCGTAGTACCGAGTTCCTTGAGTCTTGTAAGATGTGTAATCTTCAATTTCTTGAAACCATTTATAATGAAAAGAATCTTGTCTTCTGAGTTGTCATTCTTTATTCTGCTGATGTCCCGGTTGTTCATGAGAGTCCCGAGTTCTTTTTTTAGGACCGGGTTGTTATGTTCCTTGTGAGGTAACCTTCCGTTGCTTCATGGTTGATGAGTTCTTTTTGCAGCAATATGGTAACTCTGCCGTTTTCCTAGATGGATAAGTCCGAAATCTGCCCGTTGAACTGTACTGTTGTGTGGATTTGTGCCTTCCGTCATTTTAGCTGTGTCAGTAAATGGACCGTTGCGTTCTCACACCGTGCTTTAACGGGCCTGGTGGGCCGTTTTTATCGCTGTAAAATCTATTTAAAGACCTTTCATCTTCTTTTTCTTTACTGCCCTGCTCTTGCCTTGAAACCCTAGTTTTTAGAAATCCGTCGCCGCCATTGTCGCCATCATCTGAGCACCGTTGTCTTAGCCTCGTCTTTCCCTAGTGCCTTTTTGCTTCCGCTAGTACATGGGTAGGAAGAAAGCCACGAGCAAGTCCCAGGCTGCCTTCGTGGACGAGGAGTCATCACTTTCTGTGATCGAAAACCAGGAGTTCGTGGCCATGAGGGCTGCCTAGAAGGCTTGTCCGGCTCCGACAACGACTGAAGACCAGCTTCGTGAGCTTGTTGGCGATGGTCTGATCCAGAGCAAGGACATTGCTGAATGGAGGGC